CATCATCCCAAAGGGCTGATTTCTCTCCCCCTCTCTCTCTGTTTCTGTCTCCATTGAGCACAAGGGAAAAGAGTCAGCATAAATTAAGAAGAAATAGGGAACCAGCAGTTAGCGTAATGGCTATGTTGCTGAACTCACACGTAGTCGACCATGGTTCGCGTCCCGGACCCGGTGGCTTAAAACTCACGCTGGGTGCATGTGCGTGCATGCCCAAGATCCTGAGAGGAGATTGGAGGAGAAGGGATTGTGGCATGACCATCCTCCCTGGGGGGTGATTTCTCGCTTTCTGTCTCTCTGTCTCTCTCTGTCTGGTGAGTGCACGCACTCTATAGAGAAAAAACCTCTCAAAAAAAAAAGTAAAAAAAATTAAGAAGAAATAAGTAGGATACACAAAATATGATAATTGATGAAATAAAGAATATACTAACTGAAATAAAAGTTTTACATTATATGCACAGAAAAAAATAGTAGGAGCAGAGCTGAACAAATAATTAGAGAATAGGCTAATTGAAATGTAGTGCTAAGAATATTATCAACAAAAAAGAAGAGAGTGAGACAGGAAAAGCACAAAAGAAACTTTAAAAATGGATATTTTTGGGGGCCAGCAAGTGGTTTGGTGGTTAAGGTGCTGGGCTCCCACATGGCTGATGAGACCTGAACAAGGTAGCTTAAAAATCATGCTGGGGATGTGTGTGTGTGTGTGTGTGTGTGTGTGTGTGTGTGTGTCCAAAATCCTGACAGGATGTGCGAGAAATATAATAGAAATGGAAATATGTTGACCTAGACATCTCCCTGGGAGTGATTTCTCATTTTCCCTCTCACAGTCCCTCTCACTTTGGTGAGCACATGTACCCTATAGCATAAATAAAATTTTAAAAAGTTATTTTGAGTGATCACAACCAATAAACATTTCAAAAGGAAAAACTAGAATGAATGAAAGAAACTCTAAATGTGGAAAAGCTGTGAGGGATAAATATCCATACTAGAGCTAGGTGTTTGATTTCCTCTCACTTTTATTATTTTATTTTTTCTTTTATTTAAAATTTTTTTCATTTCATTTTCTTCCATACATTCAATCACATTATTATTTGCCTTACAAAATGGATATTTCAACAGGTGAACTTTTCTCCCTAGTACTGTTTTTTTTTGGGGGGGGGGAGAGGTTTTTGCTATAGGGCACATGCGCTCGCCAGACAGACAGAGAGAGACAGAGAGACAGAAAGTGAGAAATCATCCC